CCCGTGATAACCCCGAAAATTTAGATAAAAATAAGAAAAAAACATTTGTATATTTTGTAACGACATATTTCGACGAGTGGTAACTTTTGTTACGGCTGGTCGTTTCGCACGTGGCTAGGGTTTCAATAAACTAACCCGTGAGTACTTTGAAATGGTATTAAGAATACGAGATTTCGATTTCGTTTGACATCCCGTGATAACCCCGAAAATTTAGATAAAAATAAGAAAAAAACATTTGTATATTTTGTAAGGCATATTTCGACGAGTGGTAACTTTTTCTACGGTTGGCCGTTTCGTACGTGGTTAGGGTTAAAATAAACTAGCATGTGAATACTTCGAAATGGTGTTAAAAATATGAGATTTCGACTTCATTTGATATTCTGTGATAACCCCAAAAATTGAGACAAAATAAGGAAAATGAGGGGTAGCTGTGTTGGGTTGTGGTTGGGTGGGTGGGTAAAAGGAGGTTGGTGGCTGTCACATGTCAGAAGATAATGAATCTCGCAGCGTCACGTCTGATTTTTTGAAATTTTGTAAGGCCCCGTTCGGGAGGGCTTAAAATCCAATTAAAATTGAAAATATGGCCGTTATTGAGTCTCACCCGTCTAATAAAAGTCAACAATAACGGCTATATTTTTTATTTTAATCTGATTTTAATCCCTCCCAAACACGCTCTTAATTTTTTTTTTTGATATAATTTCGGTACGTGTAGCATTATTATTATTTTTTTTATAGAGGTGGGTCCTCTATGTCGGTGGGGTTCTTGACAAAAGCAGCCTCATAATGCAATCACTCCCATCATCAAGATATTCACAGCCGTCATCTTTGACGAAAACAGTCACATTATTGACGGAATTCAAAAATTTGAGACTATGCACGTTTAAAATTCGGTATAAACAGACCCTTGATCGTCACGATTCACGAAGTTACCTGTGAGAACAAAATGGCTGAAGAATTGAAGCTTTTCAGGACATGGTCGAGTAGATTTTCTTTGAGGGTCGTACACGCA